CCTACTTGGCTTCGATTATTTTCAGGATTTTTAGGGAAGGGACACTTTCATCTGTGCCTTAAAGTCATAGCAGATAATGTCTGTGGTAGTAGGTCCCAAATATGTTGGGGATATCCCATCTATCAGACATAATTCAAATGCTGATGTTAAACTAGCCAGCAAGCATGAAAAATCAATTAAGGGGACTGAGTTGAGTGCTTACACCCACAACATCTCAACTTTAAGACAGTTATCCTTAAAAGTTCTTATAGTTCCTAAAGTAGAAATGAAACCACCCTAAAATTTCTACTAGATGGAATTCCCAACCTCTGCCATTAAAAAAGAAATTAAATAAAAATAAATGATCTTAAATAGAACTACAAACTCCACTTTAATAGTTTTTATGTAGTTCATACTTTCCCAACCTTCTCCCTTTCTCTTAAAGTTATTCAAGTATAACACGAGAAAGCTGAGGCAAGCCCAGCTACTTGAAGTTATTCTTTCTGTCCTGGTATACTGTATGAAATTATAATTTTTAATTTAGCTACTTAAGAATAGCTAATGACCACTTATGACACAAAAGGTATCTTCCATATCAAAAGTTTATTTTTTAAATATTTTGATATTTATTATGAAACAGTGTAAACAATTTTTTTAATTGCCAATATTTGTAACCATTATTTTTCAGTTTATTTATAAATAATACAACATTATCCATAAAATAATTATCATTATTAACTATTAAAAATATTTTCAGCTGATATATAATGATACCTTTTAACACCATATGTGAAATAACACTATTGGGGGTGGGTAGACTAAGGATAGGAAAATTAAGTTCCCTTCTTTTATCATAAATAGTCAGCTTTGCTTTGCATGGTACTAAATTAACGTTCAAGTCTAAATAACTTGCATAAACATCATTAGTGTTGCTTTTTTTCTGTTACAAGTTCTTTCAGATATATTAAGTTTGGTGTAAAATTCAAGTTATTTAGGGAGATTAAATCATCTCTGTAACGAAAAGTATACAGGTATAAATTAGGATTTGAAACCTGTTTCAGAATTTAATTTTCATAAAATAACAAATACAAGTTGGCCATATTTGAAGAGAAATTCACCCCATTGGAATACCTACTGTTTGTTTGTTTACTTGTTTATAACTATTATAAACATAGAAATGAAATATATTTTTACATTGAATTTTAGTAAATTTAAATTTTGGAATGTTTAATTCTGTAGTTACAAAATTATCAAACAAGTCAATGAATACCCTGATTAAATCTTTCAAATACATTTTGGTATACAGTGTAGTGAAATCATACATAGAAACAGAGTTAGCCATACCTGAAGCATTTAAATTATTTAAACATTCCCAAACTGAAATTTTGTTCTTGATAATCCAAAAATAATTAATTGGTTATTATAAAACAGTGTTTTAATTTTTTCAGACATGACATCCAGAATATTATTAAGAACAATAGAGACAGATTTAGTAACTGTATTCAAAGAATTAGTTATAAATCTGAACTTAATGGAATTCTTACGCAATTTTAGAATTGCATGTAAAAATGGAAATGTAGAATAAGAGTAATATGTATATATGTTCCCTTTTTTAATGGTTTTCTTTACATTAGTAATAATAGTATTTTCTTTAAAGTACGTTTTCTAAATGTACTTACTTTAATTTCTTTAATTAAAATTTGTGCATATAATTTTTTACACATTACATTCTGTTTTATCAGTTGGAGTAATAATAAATTGTTCATGACCTTTTATTTTTGAAGGCATTGAAAGAAATGTCTATTTTATATCAAAATAAACTTAAAATTCTTAATAGATTTTTGTATGGAATTGATGAAATATAATTTCTATTCAAAGAAAGAAACATGGAGGATAGTAAGATTTTTTACTAATTTTGATAATATAGTTATCAATATTTTTTTCCAAATCTTTTAAGATTTCACATTTTTTAGTCTTTTTTTTTAAAAGTCTTAATTTAGTGCCTTTTCCTAATATTAATTGTAATTCCTTGTCCTTGATAACCTCTAAATTACCTGTAACTATATGATTGTGAAAAGGGTCCTTAAAATCACTATTATTACAGTATCAAGGCAATTTATCAACTTCTATTGGATTAAGATCTTCAATGAATTTTTTATAGTTAAAGATGAGTGGTCCTATAGGTTTATTATATTTAAAACTAACTATAGGTTGAACTGATTTAATGGAGAAAATGTTTTCTTGAACACTATTATGGATTAGGTAAGGCAAAGCTAAATTATCATACAGTTTATGTTTCAAATCTATTACTATACAAGATTTTTCTTTACTAAAGGATATTTTGATATTTTATTTCATTTTAATATGAATGTTTAAATTCAAAATTTAACATATATTTTGACAAATATCTAAGTTTTGTACCTTTTAATTCAAATAATTGTTTTATCAAAAATTTTACCAAGTTGACCCTTTTGAGACGGGTCACAGGTGAAAGGCCATGTCATCTCGTTTGTTGACTCGCATTCAAAATTTTA